CTAGTTACCCCCCGACTGCGCTCTGGTTACGTCTCTTATTCATGAACTCCGAGACACTCTAGTTTTAAATGCTAAAAAATGGATACACCGACAAATTTACGCACTCGTGTGCTCTCACTTGATTCGCAACAACGCAATTACGGGAAGCAAGTTTTCTAAAGAGATGTTACCATGTTTGATAAACCTATCTGTCGACAGAGTACCTAACGTAAGATTAGTTGTAGCGAGAACTATGGCAACGGATGTTATTGGAATGGGCTGTAAGTATACTTGTATATATTTTGGTCATAATATATATTGCGCAAGATCAGTATATTATATATAATTTATTTTTTATATTTGTATTTTTAGTAAACACTTTGGGTATGGAAGCGATGGAAGAAGTGGAAAGAATACTTGCAAAAATGTGCGATGACGCTGACCGAGATGTGCGAGTATTCGCCGGAGGTGAAGCACGATTAGATGAAATGACTTATTCTTCCGACGAGGACAACCAAGTCGAACATGCAAAATATTTATTATTTTAATAGTGATGTATTTTGATCTCGTGGATCACACTGCGGTTTTATATGCAAATTAAAAAAAGAACGAAAACTCTTTTTATATATATACATATATCACAAGATGCACCTCGGTTCTTCCACACGAGTGACTAGTTTTTGTATAAATGGTAAGCCAAAAGCCATGCGCTAGGTACTAACTAGCTGCGAATGTCATGCTTCGATCGCAAATGTACCAGATCTGCGTGGATAGTTACAGTTGCAAATACGTTGATGATGTATTAAAACAAAGCTCAAAGTTGTCAAATGCATAGCGTTCGCGATTTAGTCGAAAAATAGGTACGATACAATTATACAATGATGACTGATGCATTCTTTGCGTCCTTTAATCTAGGACAGAATTGTGAATATCGATAATCGTATACATAATGATGCATGATTACATAATGATGCATGAATGTATGTGTATGTGTATGTGCGCAAAAGAATGCGTGTTCTACCGTTGTGATCAATGTGTAACGCTGATCTCCAGAGTGAGCCGAATAGTTGAAGGCGTTATATCGATGCAATTTCGCTTGGTTTATTTCACGAATGTTCGATTTTACTACTTATCGGCACTATATCGCGTTTCGCGTTATTTTGTAGCATTTTTATTGTGCACCTAATTTGAAAGAGACGCAGCATAGCATCAAAATATAAATTATACATTAATGTGAGGCGCATTTTGCTTAAATTGATGATATTTAGGAATATGCCAGGCACGAAAATATCTTAGATGGTTTGTTAATAAAAAATCGTATTGACAAATTGACACACCGAATCCGTAGTCTCTATCAATAAATGCGCTTTATCATCGCATTTTATTTTGCATTTAAAGATTATCTCAATGGAGATATTTCATTCGATAAATATCCAGAAAACGATACAAATATCGCTGTTAATAGTTGAAGGCTTATATTAACAAGGTGATAAGATTCTAATTGTAATAAAATTCATATAGATATATATAATATGTTTGCATTTCTTTCAAATATTTTTTTAACAAATTACGCTGTGTGCCTACAGAAAGTACTGTTACGTCGTCTATCTCATTGTCAGTGAAACGCGAATTATATACGTTGCTCACGATACACTTCAATTTGTATGTTATGCCTAAATTGATAAGATAAAAATATTACATGGACGCGAATCAATTTTATTACACCACTTGTTTTTCAAGAATTACACAAACGAACGTGAAAAAGGAAGATCCATAGGAAACTTTATAAATATTGTACGATATCAGATTTTATAACATACAGAAATGTGCAAAGTGCTGATGAAGCGGAGAGTCTTGCGTTTGATTGAAAAAGAAAGAAAAGAAAGTTGTATAGAGACTCAAATATTTGCACGAGAAACATATGTTCGTTATGAAACGTTCATTAATATTTTGTGATATTATTATTATTATTATTATTATTACTTGAATTAATTTATTTTTTTCTTTATTTTTATTATTATTATTATTATTATTATTATTATTATATATTATTATTATTATGTCACAAAATATAACCATTAGTAAGAAGCGGACAATTGCGTTTCATTAATTTTATAAGGATGATGAACACAATGATTGAGGTGCGACAGAAAAACTTACTCTTTAATGAATGCTCTCGTTATTTGTGAATACCGGTGAAAGTAGAGATATTGTTTAAAATATCCTGTATAATATGTATTTCATAAAAAAATAACTAGAAAAAAATATACATTAATTTATTTATTACACAGTTATGCAATCACCATGTTATATATGCGAGTTGATTAGGAAAGTTCTCGATCTATATTCTCGAGGCTATAAAAAAATTTCATTCACATGTTATGTATACAAAGAAGTTTTATACAGCGGTAATGTTTATGCTATATTATGAACTTTGTGAATTTTATCATATATAATCTTGCTTAAAATATTTTCCAGGATGAATCATTAAGTTGATCATCAATTATATCTTTGTACAATTTCAAAAATTGCTATGTAATAAAATTTGCTGTCTAAAGTCATAAATTTACACAAAAACTGTCTGATTTGCAAAAGAAGAGATAAAATGATGTCAAAAATTTGATACTTCTCGAGAAGTAAATTCGAATTTTTTTTAGCGCGCAGTTATATCGAGAATGCCGATTATATTTTGGGCAATCGGAAGATATCGATTTGTTATATCATACAATAATTATAACGTCGTTGATACAATATACAGAACGCTAGTATTGATTATTATTTCATTCGGCGAAAAGAAGAACTTTTCAAAATATTCCCAAGAACTTACCCGGGGGACAAGCCGGCAATTGGCATGCTTTCTCCTCCATCTCGGTTTCCGCATCGTCGCAATCGTGCAAACAATGCCTCCACCTGATCTGTCGGCCTTTACCGCATGTAACACTGCAACTGCTCCAATCCATCCACCTGCCCCATTTGCGGCGCAATGTATTCCTTTGGATTGGGTTCTCTCCTCTGGCGAATCTCGAACCGCTAGAAGGCATTCGGGATGATGCTCTTCTTCCTGCTAAGGTCACCTGTCCGCTGTTCCTCGCGAGATGTCTATGATTGTCGGCGATCTCGGACTTGGAGACTCTCGCAATGTGTTTCTTCTCCGAAGAGATCCTCGGTGTCCCTTCGGTGGCCACGCGATTTGCGTCATCAACGCAGATTGATGTCGTGTATCGGGTTTCGTTACGTTCGTTCACGTACATTTGCAATTCATTTATCTGAAGATGAAAGATATGAAAGCAGAGAGGATACTTGTCCAGTTTAAAATATCTTAGTACAATCAATGTGGAAGCGATTTTTCGTCGAACGATATAGTGGACTTACCTTGACCATTAATTTTTCAGCGAGCTCCTTAATTTCTTCGATCGACCTTACGGCGCGATTACCGCGAGACTTGTGCTTTGTCTTTTTGTGCTTTATATCTTCGATCGACGTTCTTTGTCCGTTCTTGAAAGGTTTTGATCCTATCATTGTGTTCCTATCACTACGTAGATAACGGCTAGATGTAATTTCCTGGTTTCTCTTCGCGCGCGATTTTGCATCCTCATCCGATGATATCTTGGCGCGGTTGTATTTGCCACTTTCCAAGTCTCGATCGTCCTTGATTCTCGATAGATCGGATCCGATCGGATGAGATACCGCGTTATAGAACGATGCGTTTCCGGAATCGCTCGTCCCCCAACTGGAAACGTTATTTCCGTAATCTAGCTTCTTAACTATAATTTCCACTGTTAAATTATCAAATTTTTCTCTCCCAGTGGAATCGAAATTTGGGACGAGTTGACGATCCGTGGCATTGGCGTCGACAATTTCGTCATCATATTTTAATAACGCAGTTGGACGACAAGTACTAGTCCCGATAGAACGATCCGTCCAGTTGCTGACAAAGGATGACTCATTCCTGGGAATTTTTTCAATACGAACACGCAATTCCGCTCTT